TGCCTGGCCTTATGTTTTATTGAAGGGGTACGCTGAGTCGTAGTGGAAATCCTAATCCACCAGCACCAATCATGGGCTTGTCACGAGGTCCACGTAAAGAGCATTATAGTCATATAATTTAATTAACTGATCTTAACATTTTATATTAATTATTTCAACCATTGGAAACATGCCTTTATAAAACTCTTTAAACCCCCAAGTTTAATAATTAAAGATTAATATAACTAATCTCTTTCCCACAGTTAATCACCTTTAATGTTTTAGCACAAAATCACTGTCATTGAAGTTTTGTGGAACCTAGAGCTTTGAAAGGAAGATTTATGTGGTAGTTTAGAGTTGCTTAAGTGTTTGATGTAATTCTAGTAAAACTTCTGTCTTTGGAGCTCTCAATAACCGAATAGTTAACTTCTTCAGGTAGTTAACTAGTTCTTCACAGTAGACGTGGGTGGCAGAGGCAGAGGATTGCTTGAGCCCAGGAGGTAGAGGCTACAGTGAGCTGTAATGTATCACTGCACTTTAGCCTGGATGACAGAGTGAGACCCTGTCTCAAAAAAAAAAAACAAAAATTATGACAGCAAGTTACTTTTATGCTAGAAAGGGGAATAGTATAGCAAGAAAATGTTTTCATTTGTATTAAATAAATCTATGATAATAAACAATAATTGCATTAGATTTAGAATACTAACTCTATAGACCATTCTCTTCCAGATCTGACTTCCTTGACCACCTTTTGAAAAATAGTACAAGTTTCTCTATTTGAAATTGGCCTTGTAAATTTACGTTGTCAAAAGTTGGAAAGCAGCACAGTAAGATACAAAATATACAGGAGCAGTCCATCATCTTCTTCTGCTGAGATACCACATTGGGGCAGTCTGATTTGTGGTAGTTGGGAATATGGACTTTGGAACAAGTCTGATCTGGTTCAAATGCCAGAGTTTTACTTTTCAGCTATGTTTCTTTGGGCAGATTACTCTCTGTGCTTTAGTTTTTTTGTTAGAATATCAGTGCTTGTTCTTCAGAGTTGCTGTGGGGATGAAATAGTGAACATAAAGGAGTCTAGAAGAGTACCCATGCCAGTAGCAGATATTCAATAAATGTTAGGTCTCTTCTCTTCACCAGGTAGGTGTATTTTCCTTGTGAACAACTCAAGTGCTTGTATAGATTAATAAAGCATTGTTTTAAAAAACTTACATTTGTTATCAATTCAAGATACCATTTTTACATCAAGCTTGTCTTTTTCTTTTATTTTTTTGAAATGGAGTCTCTCCATGTCACCCAGGCTGGAGTACAGTGGCACAGTGGTGCAATCTTGGCTCACTGCAACCTCTGCCTCCTGGGTTAAAGCAATTCTTTGCCTCATCCTCCTGAGTAGCTGGGATTACAGGCCCATACCACCATGCCTGACTAGTTTTTTGTATTTTTAGTAGAGATGGGGTTTCACCATCTTGGCCAGGCTGGTCTTGAACTCCTGACCTTATGATCCACACTCCTTGGCCTTCCAAAGTGCTGGGATTACAGGCATGAGCCACCTTGCCCAGCCCTTAAGCTTGTCTTTAGAGACTATGAGTCTGGTGTTGGACTGATGAAATGTAGTGAGGCTTCTGAAGATGATGAAAGTAGCTGATAAATAGAGGGGCTTCTTTAAAAAAAAGATTAAAAGAAACAAAAAAGCCTGGTACAAAGTAAAATGCCTCCTTAGGGTGTTCAGGGTATTTTGCACTTTTTAAATCTCTGCTTTTAAGGAACATGTTCCTGCAGGTGTTTAGGATCTGTTCCTTATTTTTTTTTTTTGAGACAGAGTCATACTCTGTCACCCAGGCTGGAGTGCAGTGGCGCGATGTCGGCTCACTGCAACCTCCACCTCCCAGGTTCAAGCAATTCTCTTGCCTCAGCCTCCTGAGTAGCTGGGATTATAGGGGCGTGCCACTGTGCCTAGCTAATTTTTGTATTTTTAGTAGAGACAGGGTTTCAACATCTTGGCCAGGCTGGTCTTGAACTCCTGACCTCACGATTCACCCGCCTCGACTTCCCAAAGTGCTGGGATTACAGGCGTGAGCCACTGCGCCCAGCAGTTCCTTCTTGGAACCCCTCCTGTGCATGCCTCACACTCACCTCTCAGCCATGGAAGCTGTTGTGCAGTATTTCTTACTCTGTGTTTCTTTGAACTTACAGAATTCTATACTTAAAAGCTTAATGTCTCCACTTATAAAATTTAAGATTAATAAGATTCCTCAATTCATCATATTTTGAAATTGATTGATTTTTATAAGCAATAGAAATTTCTCACTAATGCAGCTGGAAAGTGAATTTATGTTCTCTGTCAAACCTTTGGGATATTCTCATAGCAATTCCAAATGGAAGAAAGGGCCCAGTGTTTCTGACATATAGGAAGGCTTATTATACCTTCAAAATGTTAAACATAGGAAAGAGCAGCTACCTGTAGAGTTCCAGGATAGTCCTTTCTCTGCTGGTTATGCTGGTTAAATCTGCCTCCTCTTCCCAGAAGTTTCTGTTATTGAATGAACATTGATGAAGAAACTGAACTCTCTACAGAGCTCTGCTGTATAGTCAGTTACAGAGATGAATAAGGATTCATTTTCTGTTCTCAAGATTTGTGACCTATGAGAAAGGAGAGACAGGCAGGATGTAAATGCCATGGAAGTGCTTGGAAGGAACAGTTAATTCTAACTGGGGAGAGTGGGGAAGGCTTTACAGAGGAAGTTGCATGTGAATTTGCCCTTGAGGGACAGAGGATTAGCAGGGCAGCATGGGGGTAGAAAGTGGACGGTGGCCACAAACTGAAGCTTGAAATGCCAGGTGTATTCTAGGAACAATGAAGAGGTTGGTGTGGCTGGAACCTGAGGGTGTTGGAATTGTTTGGTGAGAAATGAATTTGGAAATGTAGAATTAGGCCAGATTATAAAGTTTCTAAAGTGCAGTTTAAAGGAGGTGGAACCTTACTCCATAGATAGCATAACTTTAATATGGTGAGAAAAGATAATGAGATCTGTGTGTTTGGTTGAAAATCTAGAGTGACAAGAAGAACAAAATGAAAGAAAGAAACTAGAAGCTCAGAGATGAATTAGATTATTGCAATAGTAAAGAAAATCACAGAGGTCAGCTTCGGCTGTAATCAGATATCTGTAGAAATGGAAAGAAGGTTATATTAAGAGACTTAGCTTCAGAAACTGAACTAACAGGCCTTGGTGATAAGATACGGAGCTAGGGTAAGGGAAGAGTAAAAGATGACTCATGATTTCTAAGTTTCTACAGATAGTGATTTCAGGTGAACAGAGGTTAAAAGAGGAACATGTTTGGGCTGAAATGAGGGCATTTCTTCTAAAGGATTTGCTGAAGCAGAGACTTCAGAACTCTAGTACTCCATATCAGCACTAACATGGGTGGCTTCATATCTCATGCTATAGGAAATTTCATGTTTTGGGTTACCATGTATAAAAAGATACTGGTACCTGTTACATATATGGGGCCAAACAGGAGACGTACAGCAGGTTCTTGAATAACGATGTTTTGTTCAGTATCATTTTGTTATAACACTGATAAGAAAAAAAAATTGATTCCCAGTGAGGGCCACTGTCTCTGTGGAGTTGGCACATTCTCCCTGTATCTGCACAGGTTTTCTCTGGGTTCTCTGGATTCTACATCCCAAAGCTGTAAGTGTTAAGTTCATGGCGTGTCTAAATTGTCCCGGTCTGAGTTGAGTGTGGGTGGTGTGAGTGTGCCCTGCAATGGAATGGCATGCTGTCCAGGGTTGGTTCCTGCTTAGCTTCCAGGATAGGCTCTAGCCACCCATGATCCTGAACTGGAGTAAGCGGGTTGGTGAATGAATGAATGAATGTATATTATTGCAACATATAACTTTATTACATATAATAACTGCACAAATATAGGACAATAAGCAATGCAGTGTGAAAATGCTCAGTGAACCTGCCATATTTGTTACTGTTTGTTTTTGAACTGCATTGTGGTAGGAGGTGATCTTTACAATTTTCCCTTTGCAAACATTTATTCCCTGATTTCACCTCCACCACGATGACTACCATCACTCATGGATGCACCAAAAATTGGGTCATTAATTGTCCTACTTATTTTTGTTAATTTTTCTTAAATGTGTATATAACTCATATTTATTTTGGTCTTTAATATTAGAAGGGTTTTGAGTCTTTACTTAGAAGTTTGATGATGTTTTTGTGATCAGAAATATGCCATAGGAACTTAATTCTTATTTATATCAATTACTCCATGGTAAAAATTGGTTTAATTATACATTGCTTCACTTAAAGTTACAGTTTTCAAGAACCTATTGGTGGCATTAAGTGAGCACTTGTATTTTGCAAGTTTATTGTATCACTTTTTTTTTTTTGGAGTTGGAGTCTCGCTCTGTCACCCAGGCTTGAGTGCAATGGTGTGATCTTGGCTCACTGCAGCCTCCACCTCCTGGGCTCAAACAATTCTCCTGCCTCAACCTCTCATGTAGCTGAAACGACAGGTGCACACCACCACGCCTGACTAATTTTTAGTAGAGACAGGTTTTCACCATGTTGGACAGGCTGATCTTAAACTCCTGACCTTAGGTGATCTGCCCGCCTCAGCCTCCCAAAGTGCTGGGATTATAGGCGTGAGCCACCATGCCCTGCCAATTATATCACTTTGTTGTTTTGAGTCGGAGTCTCGCTGTGTTGCCCTAGCTGGAGTGCAATGGTGTGATCTTGGCTACTGCAACCTCTGCCTCCCTGGTTCAAGCGATTCTCCCACCTCAGTCTCCCAAGTAGCTGGGATTACAGGCACTGGCTGTCATGCCGGGCTAATTTTTGTGTTTTTGTAGAGATGGGGTTTCACCATCTTGGCCAGGCTGGTTTTGAACTCCTGACCTTAGGTGATCCACCTGCTTCACCTTCCTAAGTCTTGGTATTACAGGTGTGAGCCACCACGCCTGGCCTATATAATTTTTTAACAGGAGAGTAACACAAATAACTTTTTAGTCTTCAAGAGACCTATGAAGCCAAAAGACATGAGTTTCATGGTGAGCGTCAGAGGAAGGAAGAAGAAATGAAGCAAATGTTTGTGCAGCGAGTAAAGGAGAAAGAAGCCATATTGAAAGAAGCTGAGAGAGAGGCAAGTATGCTGGTTTGATGTGATTTGCATTTGTTTTTTTAGATGTCCTATTAATTTGGAGGATTTATTCAAGAATTTACTTGAGATACTTTTGTAGGCAACTTGTTCTTTAAAACGTAGCTTTTCCAACACATAGTCTTTGACTATTGACTTAAAAATCAAAATCTGAAATTAAACGAAAACTTTGGCCTTTTTTTAAAGCAGTACATTTATGGAGTGACTAATTGTTGAAATTCTTACAATGAACTGGAAGCTGTAGCAGCTACCTTCTTGGGTGCAGGCATTTTTCTTTTGTGGAATCCATGAATCTGTGGTATACAATTTTTAGGTGCCTTATTCAACCAGTCCCAGTGGTGGTTTGTCTTTGTTAGTGCCAAAGCTAAAAGAAGAAACACCACTGGATGTTTTCTTGTGCCTGGCAGGGTAAGGCACATTTGCCACAGGCCAACTCCTGAAGATAGTGGGCATCACAGCCACAGTGGCAACACAGTGTATGCATCTTACTGTGATGCCTTTCAAATGATGACCTTCCCTTTGTCATCTCACTCCTGTGACTGAGACCAAAGATAATTTTGGCCTTTTGAACAAATATTCTTCCATTTCCCTTTAGAAATGGTTTATCAAGGGCTTGTAGTGGACTAGGTTACTAAGAAGTATTTTAACCACGAGCCATAAACGTTTTTATTGTGGCTTAATAAAGCCTTTTTTGAGTGTTGCTGGGGTGGTTGTTTGCCCTGAAATAGGTATCTGTGAAGGCTGTGACATAGCTTTACTTCCCTTTTGAACTCAGTCTCTCAGGGTGCAGTTAGGTGGTCTAAATCAGCGGTCTCCAACCTTTTTTGCACCAAGGACCAGTTTCATGGAAGACAGTTTTTCCATGGACCAGGGGAGATGGTTTCAGGATGAAACTGTTCTACCTCAGATCATCAGGCATTCGATTCTCATAAGGAGTGCACAACCTAGATCCCTCCCATGTGCAGTTCACAATAGAGTTTGCGCTCCTATGGGAATCTGATGCCACTACTGATCTGACAGGAGGCGGAACTCAGGTATTTATGCTTGTTTGCCTGCCCCTCACCTCATGCTGTACAACCCAGTTCCTACCAGGCCATCGACCAGTACTGGCCCACAGCCTGGAATTGGGGACCCCTGGTGTAGATGACCTTGGGGTAGCCCTGGCACCAAAAAAATCACCACTGAACTTGCATAGTTTTGTTTGCTTCTAGTTCTCAAGCAGCAATTTAGGTTTTGAGTAAAGCTATTTTCTTGAAAATACACAATTTCTTGAAGAGTCAATCTGTAATCCAATTGTGCTAGTTTATTTCAAGTACACTTATATTGCTATGTAAATGAACCCTGCAGGAAATGGTTTTGTAAAAGTAATAGTTTACTAATTTATTTATAATTTGAAATTTGATGTTTTGTTTGGAAAAAGTTCAAACAACAGAAAAGTGAAAGTATAGGATACGTATGTTCTTCCCTTCACCTAAGAAAATAGGAATATCATAATCTCACCCAATCTTCAGTCCTTATTCAGATTTCCCCAATTGCCCCAAGATTGGCTTTTGTTCCTTTTTGTTTGGTGATTTTTCTGTTTTTGTTTTTGAACCAGGATGCAATCACAGATCACGTGTTGCACATGGGTATTATGTTTGTTTAATTTCTTCTCTTTTATTCAGGAGTTTCTCTCTTAAATAGCATGATTCTTAGTTTTACCAATTCACTAATAAAAAGATATCACTCAAAACATTATTTAATTCTATATTAAAGGACTGTTATTTAAAATGCCCTTGCCAGTATTACTGTGAAACAAATATCCCTTAATTTATCTTTTGTATAAATCTAGATTTTTATATGTAGCTTAGTAAAATGCTGTGTATTGGGCCAGGCGCGGTGGCTCAAGCCTGTAATCCCAGCACTTTGGGAGGCCGAGGCGGGTGGATCACGAGGTCAACAGATCGAGACCATCCTGGTCAACATGGTGAAACCCCATTTCTACTAAAAATTACAAAAAATTAGCTGGGCACGGTGGTGCGTGCCTATAATCCCAGCTACTCAGGAGGCTGAGGCAGGAGAATTGCCTGAACCCAGGGGGCGGACATTGCGGTGAGCCAAGATCGCGCCATTGCACTCCAGCCTGGGTAACAAGAGCAAAACTCCGTCTCAAAAAAAAAATACTGTGTATTTAGATAAGGGTGTGTGAACAGATGACTAGAGTCAGGAGATGCACAGAACAAATGATGTCTCTGAATATCGTTGACATGCTGTCTTTCCTATACCTTTATTGACAAAATTCTAGAAGAACTGAGGCATCCTACGTGTGACACACCAATTTCCCATACGGCCTCCCCCACTACAAGAAAAAGTAGTTTATATTTATCCCTCTGGGGACATGACCATCATTAAGGTATTATTTCTTCTCAATATGACATGTCAGTCTGTATCTTGGGATAACTTTTTCATTTAACATTTATGCCCCTTTTATTTTCAAAAAGTATTCTCAGTAATTTATAATTTTAAAATATAGCTACGTTACAACCATGAACACAAGGAGAACAGGAGCCTTATAATACCGGGTATGAAGAAGGGACTTGCACAGAGGGTAGCCGAGAGTCCTAGATCGAGGGAGTTTTTAAGTGAACACGAAGACTGGGCTGTAACTTCTAGGCAGTCCAGGCAGAAGGGACCACACAGAGCTTAGATGGAAGTCATATGCTAGCTGAGCAGAGAGAAGTATTTTCCTTAGCATTTATTTCTAATTTCTAAAAATGGGGCTGGGTGTGGTGGCTTGTGCCTATAATCCTAGCACTTTGGGAGGCCGAAGTGGGTGGATTACTTGAGATCAGGAGTTTAAGACCAGCCTAGCCAATATAGTGAAACCCATCCCTACTAAAAATACAAAAATTAGCCAGGTGTAGTGGCATGTGCCTGTAATCCCAGCTACTCAGGAGGCTGAGGCAGGAGAATCGCTTGAACCCAGGAGGCAGAGGTTGCAGTGAGCCACGATTGTGCCACTGCACTCCAGCCTGGGCAACAGAGTGAGACTCAAAAACAAGTCGTGGGGTGGGGGGATGCTTTTAAAAGGATCCTTGAGTAACAGAATGTGTAGTATCCTTAAAAGCAGTGTTTACAAAAGATACAGCATTGTACCGTAGTCCCCGCTTATTCTCAGTTTGACTTTCTGAGGTTTCAGTTACCTGTGGTCAACCATGGTCTGAAAATATTACAATAAGATATTTTGAGAGAGTGAGAGAGAGAGAGAGACCACATACACATAACTTTTATTACATGTATTGTTATAATTGTTCTATATTATTGTTGTTGTTAGTTTCTTACTGTGCCTTAACTTTACCATTGGTGTCTATATATAGGAAAAAACATAGGGCACGGTACTACCTGTGGTTTCAGCTGTTATCCCAGAGTCTTGGAACGTATTTCCCAAGGAAAAGGGGGGACTATTGTACCATATTGATGGCTTAATCGTAAGAGAATTGGTGACTATCAATAGCACAAAAGATCCCTTGTTTTTAATTTTTTGAGAATTTGAAAATATATTTGAATTAACTGACTGTTGTAGTGAATAATGGAACCATGCATGAATGCTTCATGCATATGGAATAGATGTGGTAGCCAGAGCTGGAAATGCCATGCAGTGTGAATAATAGTCCCACCCCATCCCCTGTTGTTTAATGTTTTTCTCTTTGTATTTTCCTGGAATTTTTTAGTCAGCCTCATGAATGATGTATGAAATGCTCTGTGACCTTTCGAGATATTTTAGTATGCATATGAGGTATGCAACCTCCATTTGAGTCACCAGAGAGCTATCTCTATTCATGTGATAGAAACCTGCCCCTGCTGCTTCCTTTCCAGACTTTGCCCTATTCTGCTGCTGTCCCACATCCTGGGTGCACACATGTTTAAAGAGCTCTCTGTGCCACTGATTTGAATGACAGCTGGGGAGCCTGCTCCTTTAAACACACACACATACCTAATATGTAACTTTTTTAACAGCAAGAACCATTTAAATAAGCAAATACTAAGGAACTGATGCTTCTCTGAAAAGGCATCCTCTGGAATAAAAGCTTCTTAGGTTAGAAGGGCCTTCATCATCTGTTTCAGCCTTGTTTGCCTTTGAATACTTTTCCTGTCAGGTGCTCACTGGCTCACAGGGCAACCTATTCCATATTTGGAACATAACAGTTTTATTAGACCAGAGTTGAGCTCTCTGGTTTCTTCCCTCAGTCTCAGATTTTCAGTGAAATATTTCTTCAACTATTATGTCATCTTTTTCTAGATACCAAGTCCTGCTTTGTTTGCATGAATGCTAGGTTGCTACCCAGAACTAAAATGTTAATCTCAGATTTACCTAACCAGACCAGAGGACCAAAAACAAGGTCATCTTTTAAAATGTATATTCTAGATGCTGGTTGTGTTGTTAGAAGGCACAGCACACAGCTGATTCATATGGAGCTGACGCTGATTCACATGGAGCTGGCTTTACACCATAGATTTTTTTGGTGGGGGTAAGCCACAATTAAACCAGCTCTACCTACATTCTTCCTTGGACCTTGTCTCTTTGAACTTGCATGCAGAACTTCAGATAACTTTCATCTGTATTTCTTCTCATTACTAGTTCTACATCTTTTAGAAGTCTTTTATGAGCAGCATTGTGTGCTGCTCTAGGGGTATAAAAATGAGAAAGATGTAGTTCCTAAGTAATCCTCAGGGAGACATTGCTCACACAGTTACCCCAGCACATGTGTGCTAAGGGTTTCTCTTTTGCAGCTGTAACAGAGCAAAGCACACAGAAAGAACTACCAGTGGCGGTTGGAGCAAGCTGAGATTTCTGTTTTTTGTTAATAACAATGGCTAATATTTATTGAGTGCTTACTCAATACCAGCCATCATGGTAAAAATATTAGATAGATTTTTTTCTTTTGGTATATCCCAGTTGTTTTAAAGCTTCCTTTTTAAGTTTCCAGAGTTTTACATGAATGCCCTTCATTGCTTTGAGACATATGCCTTCTATAATCCATATAGGGCATTCCTTAAATTGTGGAGCGAAATAAAGTAAAAGGCCTGCCCCTAAGTTGACATCCAAGGTGAACACTGCTCCCTTTATATGGTTTATCAAGGTGATTTTCAGCCCCAAGGAGATGAAAAGTACTGAATTGTGTCCTTTAAATATTTTTTCTGCTTTTTTTGCTTAAGAGAAATCTCTGTGTAATCTTATGAACTTTCGTGAAACTCATTTAACAGTTGTATAGGGGAAGAATAACCCCCGTAGGTTCTTAATTGGAATGACTCCTTATTCTCAGATTAACAAAAGAAAAACAAACAGAAGTTTATTAGCATGTATATTTGACATATACATGGGAGGTACAGACAGTAGTAGTTCTCAAAGAGGCATCTGCATCCTGCCTTCTATAGCATCTTCAACAAAGAACAGTTAAATTTTAGAGAAACGACAAAACAAAGGAAAAGGACTTGGAGTCTCTTGGGGTAGCAACTTGGAGGAAGGCACATAGCTGGCAGATGGAGGCTAGTCAGTAAAGCTAGTTAATGTAGATCTGTCTGGCACCAGTCTCCACTCCCCAAAGGGTCTGAAGTTGTCTTTGGTGGTTTACCTTTGTGCTCTCTGGTTGGAGAAGGGGGCTGGATACCTTTTGTCTTTGCACATCTATATCCTGCCTTTAGGCTCCTAAAGGGAGGTCAGAGAGCTTTTCTGTATCTGCTGCTTCTTAGTTGCCCTCAGCTCAACAGCCCTGCACATTCTGCTCTCCCATTTATTAAATATATTTAGCATTAATTTATTGTTTGATTTTATTTTTATTGGATACTTAGGCTAGTTTTTTTCCTATTGTAGTATACATTGTACTCCAATGAGTATATATATATATAAAGCTTTCTCTGAATTTAGGATTTTTTAAAGCCTGGATTTCAAGACATTGGAAGACTATGGAAAAATATAATACAGTTTTAACGTTCTTGACATAGTTGACAATTGACACTTGCTTTCCAGTGATGTTTACCACTGCAATTTTACAGTAACTGTTTACTGCACATATTTTATTTGGAATATAGCATTTTTTCCTTTCTGGTAATTTCCTTCTATACTTTGCATCTCTTACTTTTATTGAGCATGGACTTGAGAGACTTTAAGAGGTTTTGTGGGGAAAATATACAGCGAGAAAATAAAAACTAGGAAAATGTCACATGTTTTCAAAAGTTTTGTTCATAAGACTATGATATTTATTATATTTGGTTTAAGCATTTTTTTTTTTTGCATGGGAACTCATTTAAAATAAAACTTACCAAGGGAATTCCATATGAAAACTTTTCCTTGAAGCATGAACTATTGAGATTTTAGGAAAATTTGGAGATAACTGTAGGTTACTGTGTATTGTGCCATGGGGTCCACCTTTGTGTTGTTGAGCGGGAGAGCATGTCTCTGCTGCCACGCTGTGTCAGTGGTGGGGATTGCACTTTTGTTTCCAGCTACAAGCCAAATTTGAGCACCTTAAGAGACTTCACCAAGAAGAGAGAATGAAGCTCGAAGAAAAGAGAAGACTTTTGGAAGAAGAAATAATTGCTTTCTCTAAAAAGAAAGCTACCTCTGAGACATCCCACAACCAGTCCTTTCTGGCAACAGGCAGCAATCTGAGGAAGGACAAGGACCGTAAGAAGTAAGAGGCCTAGTCACCCTCCCTGGCAGCCCAGCTCGCACTTGTCACATTGCCCTGTGGGATCTTCCTTGTGCTTCTTACTTCTGCTTCCTTATGCTTTGTCTGCCTCCTGCAACTAAGTATCAGCTCCTGAAGAGGAGAGACCTTGTCCCTCTTGTTCACTGCTGTTTTCCCAGCATCCAGAACAGCACCTGGCACATGTTACGTGTTCAGTGAATATTTGCTAGAATGAATGAACAAAATAGAAATAATCACAGTGTAAAAAGGATCAGTTAGCTGAAGGGGAAATTGTTGCTCTTATTTAATAGCCCAGCCGTGGCCCTAGTACACAGCTAATGGCCACTGACCTACTATGAGTTATTTTGAATTTCATGTCTAAATGAAGCTGTGCCCTTTGTTGGGGAATTACAAACATAAAATAGTATTTTAATAAACTAATTCTTAGGTTCGATTTTTTTTAAGAACAAATTCTACTGATACTGATTTTGTGAGAATTTTTATTTTAATAAGGGAACAAAGCTGTCGATTCGAACTCCTGTGTGTTGATGTCAGAGCTTGTGAAGCCAATGATGGACGTAAAGATGCAGAGAAAGGTAGAGAGGGCCACAGGCAAGGGGGCGGCCATGAGTAGCATGTGGATGATGATCACAAGGTGTGTAGGTTTGGGGTATGTGTTAAAATCAGTTACTCAAGTTTTAGAAAATAAGTTTATTTTCCTTTTTGTTAATTTCCTTCTGTACTTTATGTCCCTTGTTTTATTTCTCCCACTTAATATGTCCCTGTCAGTTTCTTATTTGGCTGTTGAGGAAATTCATCATGCCTTGTTCTGTTCAGAATGCTCATTTGTGGGACTCTGCCTCGGTTTACTCTAGCTGCCCCTGTGCTAGCAGCATCCTCTGCTCCCATGTTCCCTACTATTTCAGACCCATTTTCAGAATATTTCAATTCAACTTTAAAATAGAAGGACATAACCTTGGCTCATGGTGGCTTTCAAGTTTTTATATGTGGAGAAGTAAATCCACAGGACTTTGGCAGATTTTATTGGCCTATATATTTTATAGGTACTTTTGGAAAAAAGGAATTCTCATGTATGATCTTTTAATGTAAGCTCTCCAAGAGCATGGATCTTTATCTTGTTTATTGATATAGCCATCCTCAGAGCCTAGAGCAGTGTCTGCTATATAGTAGGCATGCAATTCTTTGTTAAAGAATAAATATGATAGTAGTATAAAAGCTATATATTATTTAAGCATTGAATTTTGAAAGATAAACTATAGTTATTGCTGCTTTTCAACCTGCTTTGGATTTTAAAGCTAAGGGATCTTTTATTAATATATTTTTTTCTTCATCTTAACCCAGCGTTACTAAAATTAGATTTCCCATTTTTTTTCTCATATATGAAAGATAAATTACATTTACCTTGTAAAAATTATCACCCTGCTCCACTTGAGAAACCTGCTGCTGTTTGCAAAATCAGGACCAAGTCCATATTTTTTGAGAGCTCTTCTGAAGAATTTATCTTCAAGAAAATATGGTTTGGTGTTTTTGTTTTTTTTCTTTCCTTTTTCAAAGTCCTGTAGCTAGATATCCTATAATATACTAGATGCGTATTTGCTAATTTTTACTTCTTGAATGTTTTTTTTAAATTGTACCAATTAAAAGATTCTTTTTTTTTTCCAGCTCCAATTTTTTGTAAAACAGAAGTTCCAGAGCACAGAAGGTCATCATCACAAGCAAACTTCATTAAAAAAAAGCAACTAGAAGTGTGCTTTGATTTTGTTGTTTTTATTTGCTTTGTCACTTCGTCTATATTTGGCGAACAGCCACAGTTACTGTATTTATGGAAAAGTACCTTCAAGCACAAGGTCAATATGTAAGCCAGAGTGAATTATATTATGAGTTGAACATAATTATGAGTTGAACATCTCTAATTCAAAAATCTGAAATCCAAAAGCTTCAAAAATCTAAATCTTTTTGAGCACTGACTTGACCCTACCTGACACCTTTGCTTTCTTATGCTTTAAACAGATTTTGTTTCTTGCACAAAATTACAAAAAATGTTGTATAACTTACTTTCAGGCTATATGTATAAGGTGTATGTGAAACATAAATGAATTATGTAATTCGAGCCAGGTCCCATTGTGTATATGCAGATATTCTAGAAACTGAAATCTGAAACATTTCTGATGGCTGGCATTTTGGATAAGGGATACTTAGCTTGTACCTATATATTCACTGTCGTTAGAAATTTTTAAGTTGCTGTTTTGTGATGACTAAATCTTTTCTCTTGCTACCAAGCTATTGTCACTGCAGTGCATTATACCAAAGAGCACAGTGTCAGTGCCATTGAAAATATAGAACCCATTCATATTGGGGCTGTCTCATTGCATTTATAGTCCAAGATGAACCTTTTTTATATATACTAAATATTTTGGGGAATTCTGTTTTGGAGTATATTATAGAGCTAAAACTCTAACCTCTTAATAGTTTTATAGAACTAAAATTTTTGATACAGTTACCCTATTTGGTGATACCCTCTTAAGCTTTTGTGTCAAATTAAACATATTACTTCATGCTTCAGGATGCCTTATTGTGGCTGATGTATTACTGCTGTGAAACAAAATATCTTTAAAAGTTAAAACATCCAACTATATTAACTCTTTTTTTCCTGAGAAAGTACCTTTGAACATGGGTGTATCACAGTTTTCATTAGGAAAACATTTCATTACATACTTGTTTAAACTCTGCCTTCCAGGGGAAAAATAATAAGGTTGAATCATTTTATTAAAAATATTTTTTAAAAACATATGAACATCTGAATATTAAACATATAAAAATGCAGATTAATTCATATTTTATGTGATGTTTGCATTTAGTGCCTTACTATTCTCAATACTTTAATGATTTCTAACATTTAACATTCATAAATTTTCATTTTTTGTACTTGAATATTCTAAATAAAACTGACATTTACTCTTGACAAATAAAACATATCTATATATTTACTAAAATGTGTTTAATTTTCCTTTTTGAAAACTTATTTTAAAAATAATCACATTTTTTAATTATTTTGAAGATGAGGTATTTTATGAATATTTTCAGACAAAACTTATTAGTCTGTGTCAGATTGTGAGCAATCAAAGTCATCTAAGTTGTAAATAAAGCCTTGCATAGCACAATTTATCTGTACATGTTAAATTTTATTTTTGCATTTGAAATTCATAAATATCAATCTTTTAAAACTTCAGTAAATTAAATTAAATGTGTCACAGAACAAGCTCAGAAGTTTCTTCTCAAGATCAGTGACACCCAGGTTCTGGTAGGCGGGGAGTCCTGGAGGGTAGTGACCTGAGGTACAAAGCCAGGCGAGCACAACAGTACTTAGTGCCAGCTGAGCAGGCTACTCACAGAGGGGCTTGGTGACACTGTGGGAGTGTTTGTTATATATGTGGCTGTATTTGACCACACTGTTTATAAAGCAGCTCTCCTTGACTCTGAATAACGTATTTTGAAGTGTGAGATGGGTTGTTGGAATGGTAAACAGTTATTCAAGTTTTAGCTGAAAATAACTTAATGGAAACCTAAGACTCTAGACTTAACAGGAGCGCTGTCATTTTGCACTGCTGATGACTGCTGTGAGAAAGCCTCATTCCTGCTTCAACCACAATGTGAATTTTTAAGGTATTTCATATATTTGGGTTCCATGTAAGATTTTATTTTAAAAGTTGGACAACAAAGAAAAAAAATTAACAATGACTTCTTATTACAAAGCTAATTTACTATCAGGCACAAGGTTAGAAAATGAATTATCCACTGATACTTAAATTAATCTCCTGGGAATAAAATAAAGTTGTCATGTTTTGTTGAAAAATTTTTCCTATTAAGCTTATGAAACAATTGCTTCTAACTAACAGCCATTAATCCTGGCTTGTACTCCCTCTGACTTTTAAAGCTCTTTGGCATAGACTAGAATTTGAGCTTCAAAGCAACACAAGGAAAAATATTGTGGATGAACTCAGTATAGGCCCCATGTTCGTATTGGGCCAGGAAATGGGGACACAATGTGATTCAGGCCATCCATGCATCACGGAGTAGCCGGAGCAGGTTGGACAGTCAAGCAGGTTTGGAGCAAGCCACTCTCAGAAGGGTGTCTCTCTCCTGACAGAGCACAAGGAGCCATCCAAGGAAGTGACTGGTCCTGAGGGACTGGAGCAATTTGTCCAGTGAATGAAAGAAGGAGGCAGACCCAGTACAAGGCACAGCATGTTGTATGCACTGGAAAGTTAGTACCAGGGAGGAGTGGGGTTCTGGTAAGGGCCAGGTTTCAGAAGCAGGTAAGGACTGGGTCAGGAAAGAGTTTGTAAGCCCTGTCTGGCAGGCAGTGGGAGCCATTGAAAGGTTTGGCCTCACAAAGTTAGGTGTTCTCCAGCATTTATGGAAAGGAGATATTGGCAGGCAGGGGAGCTGGGCCAGGGGCAGGCCAACCCTTTAGAGAGATATAATGGACTCACCTAAGGAGTGTTTACACAATGCTCATGTAGAAAGGAATGTATAGTAATGAAAATGGTAGCCGTATGGATAAATCCAAATGAATAGCCTGTATAAAATAATTATAATGTCTTATGGACTTGAAAATACACAGTGAATTAAATTATGAGAAAATAGTGGCATAAAAATTGGGAATGGGGTAAATCAAGGGGTCTCAGATTCTTGCATTAACTGGGAAATGATGAGGAGTCCCAGTCACACAGGTAAGTCACAATTGCTTCTCGCCATCTCTAGGGTAACCATGCAACGTGGTGACGTAACTTCAGACTAATAGGAAAACTAGTTTTAAAATGCGAATACAGAAGAAAGTGAGAAGCTACAGAAAATAGCACAGGCATGACAACCAGAACACATGTAATATGGTAGATTTAGACCCACATATATCGATAAGTACTTATATTACATGCTCTTAAATTTTTTTTAGATGTTTCTTAAAAAAGCAGCTATATGTAGTTTACAAGAGAACAGTCTAGAACTTTGCTTTTATAGACAAGAGAAAGGTTAAAAGAAGATGGGAAAAGATACATTATTCAAATTTTAACGAAAAACTAATGTGTAGCTTTTTTTTTTTTTTTAAGAGTCTTGCTCTATTACTCAATTTGTCGTGCAGCAGTGGCGCAGTCATAGCTCACTGCAGCCTAAACTCCTGGGCTCCAGTAATCCTGCTGTCTTTGGAACATGTCCACGCCCCCCCCCCCTTTTTTTTTTTTTTTTGTAGAGACAGAGTCTTGCCCAAGCTGGTCTCAAACTCCTGACCTCAAGTGATCCTCCCACCTCAGCCTCCTAAAGTGTTGGAGTTACAGGCATGAGCCATTGTGCCTGGCCAATATTTTCTGTATATTAAGAGAATTTTTAAGGCCAAAAGCATTGCTAGGGATGGGGAGACCTGTAAAATAAATAGCAGTCTGAACTATACATCCCTATGTACAAAATAATAGCTTCAGTGTATGTAAAGCAAAAATTGATGGGAATATAGGAAAATGCAAATTCATACTTAGTGAGAGATTTAAACATACCACTTGTGTATGATAGGACAAGCAGATTAAAAATCAGTGCAGATATGGGAGACTTGAAGAAAACATGCAACAGCCTTGGCCTTGTGAGCATAGATAAAACTGTACCCAGAGAATGCTCATTATCTTCAAGCACACGTAGAACATGGAGTTGACTGTGTTTTACTATAAAGCAGGCCTCAATACCTTTAAAGGAATGAAAGCATACAGATTATGTTGTTGATATAATACAGTTAAGATAGAAACCAATAATAAAAAGCTTAAAATTCCTGTATCTAAGGGAACTTGTTTTGCTCAGCACCATAGAACCGAGCAATCCCAGTCCTAGATGTGTACTCGAGGAATGAAGACACATGTTCGATCTGGACCTGTCTAAAAGTTTGTGGCAGCCTTCATCAGCCAAAACCCAAAACAACGCACAACTGGTGAACACATAAACAAGTCATGGTTCATCCATACAATGAAAAGGAACAAACTACTGGTATGTACAAAACCACAGATGAATCCCAATTATATTATGCTCTTAAGCCAGATGTAGAAGGCTACATACAGCATGACTTCATTTATGTGACTTTTTTTTCCAAAGCAAAACTATAGGGACAAAGCTGTGGTTGTGGCCAGGCTCACACCTGTAATCCCAGCACTTTGGGAGGCCAAGGTGGGTGGATCACCTGAGGTTGGGTGTTCAAGACCAGCCCTGCCAGCATGGTGAAACCCCGTGTCTCATAAAAATACAAAAATTGGCTGGGCGCTGTGGCTCATGCCTGTAATCCTAACATTTTGGGAGGCCAAGGTGGGTGGATCACCTGAGGTTTGGAGTTCAAGACCAGCCTGGCCAACATGGGGAAACCCCATCTCTTCTAAAAATACAAAAATTAGCTGGGCATGATGGTGCATGCCTGTAATCCCAGCTACTCAGGAGGCTGAGGCAGGAGAGTTGCTTGAACCAGGGAGGTGGAGGTTGCAGTGAGCCAAGGTGGCGCCATTGCATTCCAACCTGGGCAACAGAGCAAGACTCCATCTCAAAAAAAAAGATTAGCCCATGTGGTAGCGCACATGGGCTAATTTTTTTCTCAGCTACCTAGGAGGCTGACAGAAGAATTGCTTAAACCCGGTAAGTGGAGGTTGCAGTGAGCCAAGATCGTGCCACTGCACTCCAGCCTGGGCAACAGAGTTAGACCTTTCTGTGTCAAAAAAACAAAAGGCTATGGTTGCCAGGCTTCATGGGTGGACTTCAAAGTGCACATGAAATCTTTTTTGGTGGTACAGTATTCAGAATGCTCCATGTCTTTATTGTGGTGGTCACCTGGCTACATACATTTGTAAAGACTCATAGAATGTGCACTTAAAATACTACTTTGTTTTGTTTTATTTGAGACAGTCTCGCTCTGTTGTCCAGGCTGTGGCATGATCTTGGCTCAGTGCAACCTCCGCCTCCTAGGTTCAAGCAGTTCTCCTGCCTCAGTCTCTCAAGTAGCAGGGACTACAGGTGTGTGCCACCATGCCCAGCAAATTTTTGTATTTTTAGTAGAGACAGAGTCTGACCATATTGGTTAAGCTGGTCTTGAACTCCTGACCTTGTGATCTGCCTGCTTCAGCCTCCCAAAGTGCTGGGATTACAGGCATGAGTGCCTGGCCAATATTGTTTGTGATATGCAAATACCTCAGCAAACCTGTTTTTTTCTTCTAAAGTTAAAAAACGGAAAAAAAGGATATCACTACAGATGTGGTGGACATTAAAACCTTGTCAATACATTTGAATATATAGAAATGACAAATTTGTGTAGAAAATTAATGTGTTAATATAAGAATTAATAGAAAATATAGCAAAGACAATGCAGGCCATCTGTGGTGGCTCATCCCTGTAATCCCAGCACTTTAGGAGGCTGAGGGGGGTGGTTCACTTGACACCAGGAGTTTGAGACCAGCCTGACCAATATGGTGAAACCCCGTCTCTACTAAAAATATAAAAAATTAATTGGGTGTGTTGGTGCAGGCCTGTAATCCCAGCTATTTGGAGGCTGAGGCATGAGAACTGCTTGAACCTGGGAGGCGAAGGCTGCAGTGAGCTGAGATCATGCCACCGCACTCTAGCCTGGAGGACAGAGACTCTGTCTTAAAAAAAAAAAAAAAAAAAAAGACAAAGCATAATTAAAGTTCCCATGAAGGTCAGGCTGAGATAACTTTATTTGTGAATCCTTTGAGATGTTTAAAGAAAGCCCATCTTTCACGAACCCTCCCTGTGGTTGGTGAATAATGGCCCCAAGAGACATCCACACCCTTATTCTTGGACCTATTAATATGTTCCCCCCCTTTCTGGCAAACGGGACTTTGCAGATGTGATTAAGGCTGTAGACCTTGAGATAGGAAAATGATCCTGGACTGTCTAGGTATGGTTGGGTCCTTGAAAGCTGGGAGCCTTTTCCGGTTGTGAGCAGGAGGGAGATGTGACAGCTGAAGCTGGGTCAGCTGAAGGTTACAATGCTGCTGGCTTTTAGGGTGGAGGGAAGGGTTCCTTCCACAAGCCAAGGAGGGGAGGTGGCCCCATTGGATCTGGAAGAACCAAAGAAAAGGATTTTCTCCTAGAGCCTACAGAAGGAACACAGCCCTGCTGATGCCTGCACTTCAGCCCAGTGAGGTGTGAGTCAGATTTCTAAACTTCAAAACCATAAGATAAATTTGTATTGCCTTTTTTTTTGGAGACAGTCTTGCTTTGTTGCCTGAGCTAGAGTGCAGTGGCATAATCATGGCTCACTGTTACCCCTGCCTCCTGGGCTCAAGCAGTCCTCCCACCTCAGCCTCCCAAGTAGCTGGAGTCCCAGGTAGAGACCCACATCTAACTGGCTAATTTTTATATTTTTTTGTAGAGACAGGGTTTTGTCACATTGCCCAGGCTTGTCTTGAACTCCTAAATTCAAGTGTTGTGCCCCGCCCCCCACCAAAGTGCCAAGATTACTATGAGCCACCATGCCCTGCCGTTTCTAAATGTTTGTCTTAGTTTAAGCCACCAAATTTATGGTAATTTGTTACGGTAGCAATAGAAAACGAATACATCCCCAAGCGCAAGTTAAAAAAAAAAATTCCCAAACTCATAAGGCCAGTATGACTTTTCATTTCAAAGCCTGGTAAGGACGTTTGAGAAAGGATAATTATAGTCTGGTCTCACTCATGAGAAATGCAAAAATCCTAAACAAAATGCTAACAAACAGAACCCAAGAATATATAAAAAAGATAGTACCTCATGTCCATGTTGGTTTATTCCAGAAATGCTGCATGGTTTTAACATTAGGGAATTAATGTAATTCATAGTATGAACATTAAGGGAAAATCATCATCATCCCTATAGATACAGAAAATATTAATAAAAGCTAGCATCTTTTTAAGACTTAAACTGACAAGAAAAAACTCTTAGAACACTGGCTAGAAGGAGACTTCCTGTTTGATAAAGGATATCTACCCCAAAACCTAATAGCAAGGGTCATACTTAATGGTGAAATACTGAAAGCCTTCTTTGTCACAAGGCAAGGATGGCCAGAGTTATCCCCTTCCATTCGACATTTTACTGGAAGTTGTAGCCAATACAGGTGTTAGTCCATTTCACTCTGCTGATAAAGACTACCTGAGACTGGACAATTTACAAAAGAAAGATTTAATTGGACTTACAGTTCATGTGGCTGGGGAGGCCTGACAATCATGGTGGAAGGCAAGGAGGAGCAAGTCACGTCTTACCTGGATGGCAGCAGGCAAAGAGAGCTTCTGCGGGGGAACTGCTCTTTAAAGCCATCAAATTTTGTAACACTTATTTACTATCATGAGAACAGCATGAGAAAGACTTGCCCCCATGATTCAGTTACCTCCCACTGGATCCCTCCCACAATACATGGGAATTCAAGAAGAGATTTGGGTGGGAACACAGACAAACCATTGATATGTCCAACCCCGGCTCCTCCCAAATCTCACATCCACACATTTCAAATCCAGTCATGCTTCCCAACAGCCCCAAAGTCTTAACTCATTCCAGCATTAACTCAAAAGTCCACAGTCCAAAGTCTCATCCGAGACAAGGCAAGTCCCTTCCACTTATGACACTGTAAAATCAAAAGCAGGTTAATTACTTCCTAGATACAGTGGGGATACAGGCATTTGGTAAATATAATTCTTCCAAATGGGAAAAATTGGGCAAAACAAAGGGGCTACAGGCTCTCATGCAAGTCCAAAATCCATCAGGGCAGTCAAATCTTTTCCAAAAGGATATTCTTTGACTTTATGTCTCACATTCAGGTCATGTGATGCAAGAGGTGGGTTCCCATGGTCTTGGGCAGTTCCGCCCCTATGGCTTTGCAGGGTACAGCCTCCCTCCCAACTCCTTTCATGGGCTGGCATTGAGTGTCTGCAGCTTTTCCAGGCACACAGTGCAAGCTGTTCTGGGGTTTGGAGGACAGTGGTCCTCTTCTCACAGCTCCAATAGGCAGTGCCCCAGTAGAGGGGTTCTGACCCCACATTTCCTTTCCGCACTGCCCTAGCAGAGGTTCTTGAGAGCCCTGCCCCTGAAGCAAACTTCTGCCTGGACATCCAGCATTTTCATACATCTTCTGAAATCTAGACAGAGGTTCCCAAACCTCAATTCTTGGCTTCTATGCTCTTTCAGGGTCAACACCATGTGGAAGCTGCCAAGTTTAAAAGCCCCTATTCTGTTTTCCTTCCAGTGCAGAGACTCTCTTCTCCCTAAATTGTATCCTTGGCTCTTGGCTCCATTTCACCCTCTGCCTTCTGCCTTGACAGCTGCACTGACATTTAATTGTGTGTACTCAGGCTCCTGCTGCCACATACCTATGCTAATTGTGGTTCAAGGTCAAGGTCCACTTTCAAGGCCTACTGTTTTTTGGGCTCATGCAAATGCCTTTGTGCCTTTGCTGAGGCCCAAGGAGCATCACATAAGGCCCACACTTTGCTCACATTCCTGGCTGTGCAGAAGCACACCTGTGGACACAGCCACCACCATTAGCAGCACCCACAAAGTTAAAGCAGCTTGTGCCCTGAGCCCTAAGTTTTCTAGCCCAAGTCCAAAAGCTGGAAGCCAATTACACAACTCAAAACAGCCCACTTGGCCTAGTACAATCACAGGACACCAAGCTACAGCCCTACCCATGTCAAATGTGTGAAGCCACAAGTCTAAGGAATGTGCATTCCATGGGAGGCATAGTGACTAGGAAGGAATTGGAAGGGCTCTGGGGGCTGGTGCAGTTTTAGGTCTTGGTGTTGGTGACTGTTCTGTGAAGATTCAGTAAGCTGGCCACGTACATGTGAACTTTTCTGCCCTATGTTATACTTCAACAAAATGTTTAGAAATAAGGGAGGGATAAAGGGAGAAAAAAATGCCAGCATCCCGAGGTCCACGTACCAGGTAGGTCCCTTTGGTCTGCATCATCCATTCTCTGTGTTATCTCTCCATACTCCTGACCAGTGCCCTAAATGGTAGAATTTTCTAGGGGCCTAATAGCCTCCATCTTCCTCATCTGAGTTCTGAAATAAACTAAGTATAAAACAGTGCACCTGGAGATGAAGTGTCAGCTCAATCACTGATAGAGGCTGAGTGAGTTGAGAGCCAGATGGGCTTACTGAGTGAGCCCAGAGTCCTGCAGATGCCCTGCACTCACAGGCAGTGCCAGAGGGGAGGGGGCTTTCTCAGGGTTACATCCACCACTACTCTCCCAAATTACCCAGCTCAAGTCAGGTAAGAAACAAACCATTCACTGTAATAGCAATACTTAAAGGAATAAAACAAACTTTCATCACTAAACTTTTTTTGAGATGGAGTCATACTCTGTTGCCCAGACTCGAGTACAGTGGCACAATCTTGGCTCACTGCGACCTCCACCTCCCAGGTTCAAGCAATTCTCTTGCCTCAGCTTCCAATGGGATTACAGGCCTGTGCTACTATGCCCAGCTAATTTTTGTGTTTCACCATGTTGGCCAGTCTGGTCTCAAACTCCTAACCTCACGTGACCCACCTTGGACTCCCAAAGTGCTGGGATTACAGGTGTGAGCCACCATGCCCAGCTGTTCCTAAACATTTCAATAGCATCGGCTGAAATATAGTTGCTTATTCTAGTGTTCTCCTGGCTCTTAGTTGCTTTTAGAGTTTTGTAATTTTCAGATTGCTCTAATGCTTATGATCCTATTAGAACCTCACAATGCAGGCAGACAGGTTAAGGAACTGAGGCCCAGCACCCTAAGGACTTGAGATGGCAGTGGCAGACTGGATGGGAATTGCACCTCACCTGTCTCCACACCAGGCTGAGGAAACCAGGCATTTCTAGATCTTTCTGAGGAACACAAACACACTGGCAGGGGCTCGTCCACAGAAATGAGGTCTCCAGGCAGAAGTGAGCCAAGAGGAATGCATGAGAAAAAAGTCTCAATAATCTAATTAATATCTCAGGTGGAAAACCCAAAACAAGCAGAAGGAATGAAACCATAAAAAGAACATAAAAATGAAAAATAAATTAAAAAAAAACAACTAAAATAAAGGAAATTGAAAACAATTACAATAAGAAAAAAACACAGAACAATGAAAGAGTTGGTTCTTTAAAGAGAGAAGACACAAACTACCAACATAAAACAGGAATCATTACTATAGACCCTGCAGATATCAGAAGAATAAGGAAGTACTACAAACAATTCTATACATATAAATGTGACAACTTAGTAGTCCAATACCACAAAAAGCACAAACTACCAAAATGTACTTAATATGAAATAGTTCATTTGAATACCCTTTTAACTATTAAAGAAATTGAATTCATAATTTGAAAAATCTCCAGGCCCAGATGATTTCATTGGCAAAATCCATCAAACATCTAAAGAACAAACAGCAATTCTACACAATCTCTTCTACAAAATAGAAGAGAAGGGAACACTTCAGTATTCATTTTATGAAGTTATTATTATCGATAATAAAACCAGATGAAAACAGCAGTACAGAAAACCAAAACTAGAGACCAATATTCATGAATATAGATGCAAAATTTCCTCCCAAAAGATTAGCATATATAATTCAGCAATATATAAAAAGAATTCTATACCATGACCAAGTGAAGTTTATGCCACAGAGGCAAGGCTGGCTCAAAACTTGAAAATCAACCAACATAACTCACCATTTTCTTTTTTCCAGTAAGAAAAATCATGTGATCATATCAGTCTATCCAGAAAAAAACATTAGAAGTCAGTATATTCCTGAGAAAGAAACTCAGAAAAAAAAGAAGTCAGCATCCACTTATAATAAAAATTCTCAAAAAAAAGAAATAGAGCGGAAATTCTTCAACTTGATAAAGAATATCTAAAAACCTGGTTAACCTTATTCTTTTTGATGGAATACTAAATATATTCTCTCTAATATCAAAAATAAGGTAAGAAAGTCTGCTTTCATCGTGCTGGAAATTCTAGCCAGTGCAATAAGGCAAAGGGGAAAAAAGGGCATAAAGATTAGGAAAAAAAAAACCTCCCCTTATTTGCAGGTGACATTACTGTCTATACATAGAAAATTCCGAGGAAGCTACAAAAACATTCCTCTAAGTACAGTTCAACAAAGTCATAGGATATAGGATAAACATATAAAAATCAACTATATTTCTATATACCAGGGACACTGAAATTAAAAATCTCACTTACAGCCAGGTGTGGTGGCTCAGGCCTGTAATCTCAGCACTTTGGGAGGCCAAGGCGGTCAGACCAGAAGATCAGGTCTGGCCAACATGATAAAACCCTGTCTCTACCAAAAACACAAAAATTAGCTGGGCGTGGTGGTGCATGCCTATAATCCCAGGTACCCCGGAGGCAGGAGAATCACTTGAACCCAGGAGGCAGAGGTTGCAGTGAGTGGAGACCACACCATTGCACTCCAGCCTGAGCAACAGAGCAAGACTCCATCTCAATATATATATATATATATTGCTTACAATCACTCAAAAAAGTGAAATAATTAGGTACAAATCTAACAAAACACATACAGCATTTGTATGCTGAAGACTACACAATGCTGATGAAAGAAAACAAAGATGTGGCTGGGTGCGGTGCCTCATGCTTACAATGCCAGCACTCTGGGAGTCTGAAGCAGGAGGATTTTGAGTTGGAGAACAGCCTGGGCGACATGGCAAGACCCCATCTCTACAATAAATAAAGCTAAAAAAAAATTAGCTTAGTGTAGTGGCATGCACCTGTGGTCCCAGCTACTTGAGAGGCTGAGGTGAGAAGATGGCTTGAGTCCAGGAGACTGAAGCTATGCCATGAGCCATGTTCATGCCACTGCACTCCAGCCTGGGTGACAGAACAAGATTCTATCTCAAAAAAAAAAAAAAAAGACATCAGAGATTTTAAATAAATGGAGAAATACGTTGTGTTAAAAAACCGGAAGGTGTCAATCCTCCAATTGACATATGGGTTTATTAAAATTCCTATCAAAATCTCAGCATGATCTTTTGTGGATATAGACAAAATTATTCTAACATTTGAATTGAAAAGCGAAAGAACTAGTGGCCAAAAGAATTCTGGAAAAAACAAAGTAGGACAAATCACTCTACCTGATTTTAAGACTTAATGTATAGTTACAGGTATTGGTGGAGGGATAGTACACCAATGAGTGAAACAAAATAGGAAAAGAAATAAACTATGACCTAAAAACCTCACACCTTATGCCGAAATTAACTAGAAAATGGATCACAACCTTATGTAAAATATAAAGCTATAAAAATTTTAGAAAAAAATTAGGATAAAATCAGGATCTATGGCTAAGCAAAGAGATCTTATCAGCAAAAGCTCAACTCATAAAAGGAAAAACTGATATACTGGACTTCATCAAAATAAAATACTCTGCTCCATAAAAACCCATATGAAGAAGGTGAAAAGACAAGTCACAGAATTGCAAAAAATACCTGCAAACCACATACCGGACAACAGACTAGTATCTAAAATATATAGAGAACTCTCAAACCTCTACAGTAAAGAAGAACAAACAATCCAATCAGAAAATGGGGCAAGGTCATTAATATTTCACTAAATAAGCATATGAGAAAATCCTTGACATTAAAAACTGAGGAAATGACAAAACAACAATGAGATATTACTACACACTTATCAGAATGGCTACAACAAAAAATAGTCAAAAGATCAAATGCTCTTGAAGATATAGAGAAACTGAACCACTCAAACATTGCTAGTGGGAATGTAAATTGTACAACTACTCTGGAAAACATTTTAGCAGTTTCTTTAAAAAAAACTAAACATGCAACTACTATATGACCTACAGCTGCATCCCTGGGCATGTACTCCTTAAAAAATAAAAACTGACATATCCAAGACTGAGTAATCTAGAAAGAAAAAACAAATTAATTAATTAATTTAAAAAATTAAAACTGTCAGCTGGGTGCAGTGGCTCGTGCCTGTAATCCCAGCCCATTGGGAGGTGGAGGCAGGCGGCTTGTCTGAGCTCGGGAGTTCAAGACCAGCCTGGGCAACACAGTGAAACCCCATCTTTACTAAAATACAAAAAACAGAAAATTAGCCAGGTGTGGCAGCGAGTGCCTGTAGTCCCAGCTACTTGGGAGGCTGAGGTAGGAAAACTGCAAGAACCTGGGAGGTGGAGGTTGCAGTGAGCCCAGATCGCACCTCTGCACTCCAGCCTGGGCAACAGAGCGGGACTCCATCTCAAAAAAATAAATAAAAAAATGTTAAAAAAATTTTTTTTAAATAAAAACTGTGTTTGCACAAAAACCTATACCCAAATGTTTATAGCAGCTTTATTGACAATAGGCAAAAACTGGAAACAATCTAGACATCCTTCTATAAGTGACTAAACAAACTGAGGAATAGTCCACACATTGGACTATGCCTCAACAGTAAAAAGCAGCAAGCTACTGGTACCTACAACGACCTAAGTGAAGCTCCAGAGAACCACACTAAGTGAGAAAAGCCAGTCCCAAAGAGTCACATACTGTGTGATGCCATTTTTACACTTCTGAAATGATGAAATAAAAACAAAAAACAGTGCCAGGCGCAGTGGCTCACATCTGTAATCCCAGCACTTTGGGAGGCCAAGGCAGGCAGATCATGAGGTCAGGAGATCAAGACCATCCTGGCCATGGTGAAACCCCATCTCTACTAAATACAAAAATTTGGCCAGGCATGGTGGCGTGTGCCTGTAGTCCCAGCTACTAAGGAGGCTGAGACAGGGGAATTGCTTGAATCCAGGAGACAGAGGTTGCAGTGATCCAAGATCGTGCCACTGCACTCCAAAAGAGCAAGACTTTGTCTCAAAAAAAAAAAAAAAAGAAAAGAAAAGAAAAACAGCTTAAGGTGTGCCTGCAGTTAAGGAAGAGGTCGGTGGGAGAGAGGCAGGTGAGTTTGGCAGCATGAAGCGTTCCTTTGGTGATGGGAATATTCTTCCAGTTGACTGGACTGATGTCAGCATTCTGGTTGTGATGTTGCAGGACAGTTTCACAAGATGTTACTGTTAGGGGACACTGGTGAAGGGCATCATGCAGGACCTCTCCCTGCTATTTCTTACATACTGTGTGAATCTACAAAGTTATAATTTTAATGGTCTAACCCTCTCTTAAAGCTAAATAAAGCAACTGTGAGATTTATTACTTTTCTTCCTATGATTTGAAAATGTTACATGAGAAGACCCTTGCACAGTTGAGTTTGACTGACTTGGTAGAGATGACTGGAGAGTAGGAATATGCACATATATCTTGGTCCCATATTTCATATATTCATCTGCAACTTAAACCCAAACTACTTCCCTAAGAGGACAAGTGTTTCTACCTTGGCACCATATAAATCCGAGTTCTTCATCAGAAACTCTGCCGATGTCCGCACTGTGACTCCATTGTCTCATACTGCAGCACACGGTTTTTCAGAGTAGTCTTACCATGGTGAATGACTGTGATGAAAACACACACTGACTGCTTTAAGAAGTAATGTGTCTTTTCAGTATTAGAGATAGCCTGGTGCTGACATTAGATGTGGACTAAATATTTCTCAAAAGCTACCATTTAAATTTTCTTACCTAAATTACAAATTTATAAAATAAGAAACGATGACTATTTTGAATTATTTTCTACAATCTAAAAGCAACGTTCTTTAAAAAGAATGACTTGACCTCAGATACAAAAGCATTTTTCATTACTAGAAAAAAAAAGTATCAGAGAGCAATTTTGCTGAGTATCTCAGAAGAAAAAGACCTTGAATCAAGAAAGGGTATACAAAGATTCCAGTAAACAAACACTACTGCCAATCTAGTGCTACCCTGAATACAGAGAACACAGACTACAACACTGGAAAGTTTTCAAAGAAAAAAAATCACTGCACAGAAAAGAAACTAACATTAACAAATTATTATGAATAGGTTTTCACTTCTGGGTTAAGTTTGCTAAGGCGTCACACTGTACATAAAAAAATAAATTTTTAGGTCATGCATGGTGGCTCACACCTGTAATCCCAGCACTCTGGGAAGCCAAGGTGGGCAGATCACCCAAGATCAGAAGTTCGAGACCAACCTTGCCAATGTGGTAAAACCCTGTCTCTACTAAAAATACAAAAATTAGCCATGTGTGATGGCAGGAGACTATGGTCCCAGCTAGTAGGGAGGCTGAGGCAGGAGAATCACTTGAACCAGGGAGGCAGAGGTTGCAGTGAGCTGAGATGGCACCACTATACTCCAACCTGGGCAATAGACCAGACTCTGTTTACACTGATGAGCATGTGCATTTATACTAATGAGCAATATGTTTCTAATGTGTCTATTAAGTGTACAAAAAGCATTATGTTTTTTTAAAATGTGCATATCTTAATTTAAAATGCTTTATTTTGCTAAAATATGCTAACACTCCTTTAAGCCTTCAGTAAGACATCATTTTTTTTGCTGGTGGAGGGTCTTGTCACAACGTTGATGGCTGCTGACTGATCAGAATGGTGTTTGCTGAAGGTTAAGGTGGCTGTGACAAGTTTTAAAAGTAAGACAACAATGAAGTTTGCCACATTGACTCTTCCTTTCATGAAAAGACTTCTTTGTAGCATGTGATCTTGTTTGAAAGCACTTTACCCACAGTAGGAAAGTCGTTCAAAATTGGAGTCAATCCCGTCAAAGTCTGTCTCTGCTTTACCAAGTTTACATAATATTCTAAATCCTTTGTTGTCATTCCACCATGTTCACAGCATCCTCCCCAGGAAATTCCATCTCAAGAAACCACCTTCTTCATTCATCCATAAGAAGCAACTCCTCATCTGTTCCAATTTTTGTAAGATCGTAGCAATTCAGTCACGCCTTGAGGCTCTACTTGCTATCATCAGACTCTTGCTATTTCCACCACATCTGCAATTACTTCCTCCATTCAAGTCTTGAACCCCTCGATCATCCATGAGGGCTGGAATCAACTTCTCCAGAACTCCTGTTAATGTTGATATTTTGACCTCCTCCCATGAATCATGAATCATAAACGTTCTTAATGACATCTAGAATGATGAATCCCTCCCAAAGAGTTTTCAATTAACTTTGCCCAGACCCATCAGAGGAATTACTATCAATAACTGCTATAGCCTTATGAAGTATATTTCTTATGTAGTAAGGTTTGAAAGTCGAAATTACTCCTTGATCCATGGGCTGCAGAATAGATGTTATTAGCAGGCATGAAAAAAACATTAATCTCCAGATGGCCAGGTATAGTCAATAAGCAATCACATTTTTAAAGGAATCTTTTTGTTTTCAGTAGTAAGTCTCAATAATGGGCCTAAAATATTCAGTAAACCATATTATAAACAGATGTACTACCACTCAGGCTTTGTTGTTCCATTTCTAAGGCACAGGCAGAGTAGATCTGGCATAATTCTTAAGGTCTCTAGGATTTTCCAAATGGTAAATGAGTGCTGGCTTCAACTTAAAGTCACCAGTTACATTCACTCCTAACAAGAGACTCAGTCTGTCCTTTGAAGTTGCGAAGCCAGGCACTGACTTCTCTCTAGCTATGAAAGGTACTAGATGGCATCTTCTTCCAATAGAAGGTTATTTCATCTACATTGAAAATGTGTTGTTTAGTGTATCCACCTTCATCAATTACCTTAGCTAGGTCTTCTGTAACTTGCTGTAGCTTCTTCATCAGCACTTGATGCTTCACCTTGTGCTTTTATGTTATAGAGATGGCTTCTTCCTTAAACCTCGTGAACCAACCTCTACTAGCATCAAACTCTTCCTCTACAGCTTCCTCACCTCTCTCAGCCTTCACAGAATTGAAGAAGTTAGGGTTCTGCTCTGGAATAGGCTTTGATTTAAGGAATGTGGTAACTGATTTGATCTTCTATCCAGACTACGGAAACTTTCTCCATATCAGCAATAAGGCTGTTTCACTTTCTTATCATTCGTATGTTCACTAGAGTAGTGCTTTCAATTTCCTCTATGAACTTTTCATTCACATTCTTAACTTGGCCAACTGACACAAGAGACCTAGGTTTCAGCCTATCTCAGTTTTCAACGTGCCTTCCTCACTAAGTCAAACATTTCTAGTTTTTTAATTTAATGTGAGAGACAGGTGACTCTTCCTTTCATGTGAACACATAGATGTCACTGCAGTCTTATTAGCTGGTCTAATTTCAATATTGTTGTGTCTCAAGGAATAGAGTGGTCCAAACAGAAGGAGAGAGAGAGGGGAATGGCTGATTGGTGGAACAGTCAGAACCCACACAATTATCAGTTAAATTCACCATCTTATATGGATGTAGTTCATGGCACCCCAAAACAATTACAATAGTAACATCAAAGATCATCGGGCACAGATCAGCATATCATCTATAATTTGTGACACAGAGACATAAGATGAGCAGATGCTATCAGGAAAATGGTCCCAACAGACTGGCTGGAAACAGGGTTGTCACAAACTTCAATTTTTATAAAACTCAGTATCTGTGAAGTGCAACAAACCAAGGTATGTCTATACTCGAGTGGCTTTTCATTAAATTCTATCTTCCATAGAGAGTACAGTTTTCCTTCAAAGCTTAGAAGAAACAATACATTAAACATTCAGATACTTAACATTCCCTCTACAGCATTGTGCTGAACAAATTTTATGCCTGAGATTTTAATATCAGCACCTATGCAGTCCACAAAAGTCCACCTATGATAGTCCACTTTTTTCTATCACAATGTCATCTGGTAGACCATATCCTAAGAAAGAGAGAACAAGAACACTTAAGATGGGTGAGGAAAAACATCTAAATAATAACACTCTAGAGCAGGTTTCTCTAGTTCACATGACTGCAGATGATGAGACCAGTCAACCATGCTGTATTAAAATAAAATCTCTCTCTACATATTCTGTTTGATTTAAACCATGGTATCCAATTTTTAACAATGACCACTAGTTCCCATATCAAGATGACTACCCTATCAACTATCTCACATCAGCTCAGTACTAAATTCACTTACAAAACTGCTATAAAAAATAAATAGGGCCGGGCGCGGTGGCTCACACCTGTAATCCCAGCACTTTGGGAGGCCAAGGCGGGTGGATCATGAGGTCAACAGATTGAGACCATCCTGGTCAACATGGTGAAACCCCGTCTCTACTAAAAATACAAAAAATTAGCTGGGCATGGTGGCGCGTGCCTGTAATCCCAGCTACTCAGGAGGCTGAGGCAGGAGAATTGCCTGAACCCAGGAGGCGAAGGTTGTGGTGAGCCGAGATCATGCCATTGCACTCCAGCCTGGGTAACAAGAGTGAAACTCCGTCTCAAAAAAAAACAAAAAGAAAAGAATAAAAAATAAAAATAAAATAAATAAATAATGTTCAAGACCAGCCTAGGCAACAGTCTAGAGACTCCATCTCTACAAAAACTAAAAAAAAATTAGGCATGGTTGCATGCACCAATTACTCACTACTCAAGGAAGCTAAAGTGGGAGGGTCACTTGATCCCAAAATGTTAAGGCTGCAGTAAGCTATGATCACGCCACTGCACTCCAGCCTTTACTCTGGGTGACAGAATGAGACCTGGTCTCAAATGAATGAATGAATGAATGAACTTACAGCTGAGTCCAAGAACTTTAAAGCATTCACCCTTAGAAGTTTGCTTCTAACATTCTATGATTCTAATATAAATTACATTTGAAAAACCTAAGCAATTCACAAGATGATCTAATTTTAATATTCTCTTAAACAGTTGGCTTAAAATCTGACAAACTGACTACTTACTAGAAAAAAAACAGTCTACCTCATTAGCAAATAAAAAGCATCAGATAGAGGCTGGGCATGATGGCTGTAATCCCAGCACTTTGGGAAGCCGATGCAAGTGGATCACTTGAGGTCAGGAGTTCGAGAGCACCCTGGCCAACATAGTGAAACCCCACCACTACTAAAAATACAAAAATGAGCTGTGTGAGCTGCATGCCTGTAATCCCAGCTTCTCAGGAGGCTGAGGCACGAGAACCGCTAGAACGTGGGAGGCAGAGATTGCAGTGAGCTGAGATTGTGCCAATGTACTCCAGCCTGAGTGACAGAGTGAGACTCCATCTCAGAAAAAAAAAAAAAAAGCGTCAGGCACAGTGACTCATGCCTATAATCCCAGAACTTTAGGAGGCCAAGGTGGGTGGATCATTTGAGGTCAGGAGTTCAAGACCAGCCTGGCCAACATGGAGAAACCCTGTCTCTACTAAAACTACAAAAGTCAGTCAGGCATGGTGGTAGGCACCAGTAATCCCAGCGACTCAGGAGGCTGAGGGAAGAGAATAGCTTGAACCTGGGAGGCAGAGGCTGCAGTGAGCTGAAATCACACCACTGCACTCCAGTCTGGGCAACGGAGTGAGACACCATCTCAAAAAAATAAATAAATAAATAAATAAAGCACCAGATATCTATAAATCTTAAACCAATAATGCAGGCTAAACAGCTAAGTGGGCTTACAAAAAACTGGAGTATCAGAAAACTAAAGAACTCGGTTGACTTCCATTGTAAAACAGAACCACAGAGACAAAGCTGTAAGAAATAACTCTCCCTGTCTACAGATGAGTCTTTGAGTAAATGAAAGCAGTAACTGCATTTAACAAGCAAAGCCACTTGTTAGGATGTTGGAGGGGTGAGACCTAAAGAGTAAATCAAAACAATTCTCCTATCTTAGAGAAGGTTGCATATTTGCTATGGTTGATAGTCATGAGTCACACAACATAGAGATCTTTTGTGGATCAGCTAAGGAAGTTTTTCCAAGTCCTTGGTTTTGTTAGGACTTTTCTGTTCCCTGAGACAGAGTCTCACTCTGCCGCCCAGGCTAGAGTGCAGTGGCACAATCTCAGCTCACTGCAACCTCCACCTCCCGGGTTCAAGTGATTCTCCCGCCTCAGCCTCCTGAGTAGCTGAGATTACAGGTGTCTGCCACGACACCCAGCTAATTTTTTGTATTTTTAGTAGAGACAGGGTTTCACCATGTTGGCCAGGCTGGTCTCAAACTCCTGACCTCATGATTTGCGCGCCTCGGCCTCCCAAAGTGCTGGGATTACAGGCGTGAGCCACTGCCTGGAAATTGGGTTGATAATTATCTTGCTTGCATAAATATTTCTTAATGTATGTAAAGTTCACATTTATTTCAATGTTTAAGATTATAATTGCTTGGAGTCTTTATTTAGGAGTTTGATGATGTTTTCATGACCAGATATATGATACAGAAACTTTAATTTTGTTTATATCAGTCAGCCGATGGTAAAACTGGTTTCATTAATGTCGCAGTTTCTAAGAACCTACTAATAACAGTAACTGAGGACTTTACTACAATGCCTGGCTATGTCTTTTTGTGAGGTTAAGACTGATCAACAGATTCAGGTTGTCAGCCTGATGCACCCACTACAAAGTTCTCTTTCTCTAATGGTCACAGTAGTCATTGATATTCATAGTCTAGAGCCTTTATCTCATTAATGGTTACAAAATACTGATAGTCTATCACTTTCTTCATGTATTGGTTAGAATACTTGTATAAAGAAATTCCTCAGGTGATTCCTAAGTGCTTCCAAGGTTGATTAGAGAAAAAAACAGTAGATGGCCTAGGGCTGACCCCTGGATAACTCCGACATTCTAAAGTTTAAGCATGAGAGGAAAAGCTGGTCGATGACTAAGCAAGCAAGCCAGTAAGATAACAGCTGAACAGTGGTGTCCCAGAAGCTGAGAGGAGAGGGTGTTAAGAAGATGGGAATGATCAAACACCTAGTATGTCAAGAGGTCAAGCAAGGTAAGATCAGAGGCAAGACGAGACAGTGAAATGTCGACTGAATACAAGAACATGAATACAAGGACTGAATACAAGAATATGGAAGTCTTTGAGCACAATTTCAGAGATGAGGTCAGGGTAGAAGTGTTACCGGGACACCAGGAAGTATAAACTGTGACTATATATAGCTCTTTCAAGAAATTCAGTTGTGAAAAGGAAGCACTGAAAATGAAACCAGCCATCTCTTAATTCCTGTAGATTGGGCTGTTAGTCCCTTCACACTCTAGTAGAGTCTTTTTATTTTTTATTTTTGTGATGAACTTAAGCATAGCTCTACTCAATTAAAAAAATAAAAACACCCCTGCTGGTTCCCTTTTAGCCCTCAGAAAGAAGTCCTGAACATGATAAATAGATTCATCATCTGGCCCTATTGCACCTCTCCTGCCTCAGAGCTGTTGTACATGAACTCTCAATTTCACAAGCTCTTTCAAACCTCCATGCAACATGTTAGTCAAGCTGCCAGAAGTGCCTTCCACCTTTTCCACCTGGTAAGCTTATAGTTACATTCCATGACTCAGCTTCGATGTCATCCTCACCAGTACCATGCCAAGCATTTACACATCCTTCCCATCTGTACCTCCCTAGTGTTGATTCTTTCAAGCCAGAAATGTAGAAGTCAGCCTTGACTTCTCTCATATCACTCACATCCTCTCATCTCCTATATCTACCAGAGCACAAAGTCCCAGCTATTTTGCTTTCTCAGTAAGCCTCCATCTGTCCTCTCCATATCCCAACTCTAGTCCTCTCTCTTGCCTCTTAACTGGTCTCCCTATTCTGTCTCCCACTATTTGTTTTCCACACAGAAGCCACAATGAACCCCTGAAAACACAAAGCTGTACTTTAGGGGGCTGAAGTAGGAGGACTGCTTAAGCCTAGGAATTCAAGACCAGCTTGGTCAACAGAGTGAGACCCCCATCTCTTAAAAAAAAAAAAAAATTGTAAAAAATATTAGCTGGGCAGTGGTGGTACATGCCTGTAATCCCAGCTGATCCAGAGGCTGGGGCAGGAGGATGACTTGAGCCCAGGAGTTGAAGCCTGCATTAAGCCATAATTGCACCACTGCACTCCAGCCTGGGCAACAGAATAAGACCCTGTTTCAAAAAAAACCAAAAACACAAAACTAGTGATACTCACCCAAAAATAAAAACCCTTCAGTGGCTTCCCACTGCTCTTAAAGACAAAAATGACTAGCTAACAAAGCCTTGCATCATCTGACCCCTGCCAACCTCTCTAATCTGGTTTCCTAGGTCTCTCCCAGCACTGTGTTCCAGCTATGCTGGCCTTTCAGTTCCTTAAAAACACTCAGCTCCTAAATCTTTTTCCTTCCCCACCCCAACACCCCCTTCCCCAAGCTAACCCAAGTTCCAATGTCATTATTCCAAAAAATAACCTTAGAACAGCAACTTGGCCTAATCTAAGGACACCCTGTAATTCTTCCCAGCACTCACTGCTACTTCTAATCAAGTAGACATGTGTGCATGATGATTTCATCAAGGTTCATCTCCTAGCTTTAGACAGACAGCTCCCTGATGATGATGCCTGTCTCATGCACCAGACATACCCATCCTCAGCTAAGAACCTGGCACTCAAATATTTATCGAATCAACAAACAAATGAAAACCCTTATAATTTGGCCTTCTCTGGGCACTGACCCAAATCTCAGCCCTCAAAATAAAGAGTAAATTTAACCAGTCTCCTCTTCAAATAATATTACCAAATAACATTCCAGATACTTATTTTTCTATGAGCTTCTATGCCTATAGATTAGCTCCCTGATTCCTAATTTCCTAGACTTATCAGTTACCCCTTTATCTTCAAATGCTTCAATTTGCAGACTTTTTTAAATGAGAGAAAGGGACGGGAGTTCTTTTGGTTCTGGACAGAAACTGGTTTAGATTCATTCTGCTTGGCCCAATACTGAACATCTAGGGTTACACGTTCTTGCATACAATTAGAAACTGTCTGTAAGATACTGGCAGCAGGGCCTGAGACACTCTGCTTCTTTGCAGAGCATTCAAATTAAGCTCAGCAAAACCAGGTTAACTCACTAATGGTATAAAAAATGGAAAGTACTTTTTATATTACAAAACACCAAGCAATATTATTTACATTATGGTAATTATTACTCAGTCTTCTAGTTCCTGGAGGAATATGTCTATTTTTAAATAGCTAAAGTAAGCCTTCTTTGGTGAATATACTTACATACAGAAGATCGAAAACAACTATCTGTATCAGGAGCCATCTAATAAAAGATTGATCTGAAAAACTGTTTAAATCATACCCACTGATCCAGGTATGGGCTTTCTTTCCCACGTAAGGGACAAGGGGTCTGCTTGTACAGTGGAAATAACTATGGCAAAAAAGGCTGACAGGTAGGAATACAACCCCTAAGAAAACGCTTGCTTTGACCAGACCTATGCTTGAAAAACTGTGTATTCATCTTTTAGCAGTGCATATAGCATGGTATATAACCTTCTTCACTGTCTTCCTCTTCTTCTACTTTCTGTACTCTTATATTGAAATATACCAACCATAAGCCTTAACATCCACAACTTTTAAGCCAGTTTATATATAAACCAAATTAAGAATCCCTTACTTTTGTTAACATTTGGGAAAATCAAGTAAAAGACAAATAGGAATTCTTTATATGCTAGACCCTTGAAGAACACAGGTCTGAATTTCGTGGGGTCCACTGATAAGTTACACTGAGTGTGCCAGCCTCTCCTGCCTCCCTTTCCACCTCTCCTCCACCTCTTTTGCCTCTGCCAACCTGAAGCAGCAAGACCAATCCCTCTTCTTCCTCTTCCTCCTCAGGTGAAGATGATGAGGATGAAGACCTTTATGATGATCCACTGCCACTTAATGAGTAGTAAATACATTTTCTCTTCCTTATGAATTTTCTTTTCTTAGCACTTTATTATAAGATAATACACATACAAACTATGTGTTAACCAACTATTTATGTTAATGGTAAGGCTTCTTTTCTGGTCAACAGTAAGCTATTAGTAGTTTCGTGTTGGGGGAGTCAAATGTTGTACTCAGATTTACGACTAGGGATGGGGGAAGATAGGCACACCTAACCCCCACATCATTCAGAGTCAACTATACTAGTTTTTTCAGCTTTTCTCTAAGTTTGAAATTATCAGAAAATGATTTAAAACATTTTTAATTTTTTTTAATTTAAAAAAGATTATCCTGTCTTTGGATATTTTTAAATATTGCAATGACCAAGTTTATAGTTGAGTTTTAAATCTAGGTCTAACACAAACCAAAATTACTTCATTTCATCCAAAGCTTCTGGCCACAAGGTTATTTTTCTCAACTTCTTTTCCTACCTGACATGCTCAATTGCAAGGGCTGTCTGGTCAAACACTCCCAAATCATCAAATACCACCCATAGCTCCTGCAGGGGCAACTTATGTTCTTTCAGATCCAGGAGTTCCTTCATACACTCCATGGTAAAAGTGCTCACTTGAGAGTCACAGAAGTATGGTTCGGCAAGCCTCACCACTGCTTTCAAGGCTGCAAAGTCCACATCTGTGACCTGAGATTCAAAATAATGTGATTTAACTTAAGGAAATCAAAATTAAGATACACCTATAAGACAGTAATGACAGCCTGATTTTTTTTAAAAGCATACAACAGGAGTGGGGAACCTTTACCCATAATATAAAGGATAAACAAGACAGGCTGGCTCTTACCCTCATGGAGCTTACACTGTAATCAGGGAGATCAGTAAGCACAATGGTAACGAGTGGGTGACAGAGAGTAACTAGCAGGGGTGAGGATCTGGTTCTGCTGAGATGGCCAGGGAAGTCAGCTGTGAGCCAGGCTGAGGAGGATGAGAAGAAAGTGGCCATCTGAAGAGCAGGAAAGTCGCAGAAGGCCTGTGGCAGAGACAGGGTTGGAAGCGGGAGGGGCAGAAAGACAGTCCTTCTTGCTGGAGCCAAAGGGAGGAAATGGAGGAGGGGGGTGCAGTGGAGCAACAAGGGATGAAGTGAGAGAGAGAGGCAAGGAGACTAGGACATGAAGGACATCCAAAGGAGCATGGATTTTACGTGTTTTCTCTACAATGAGAAGCTGAAAAGCCATTACTAAGACCTTGGTAAAGGCAATGCATTAAAAGTTTTAAGCAGAGAAATGTCATGCTTCTGTTTTAAAACAATGACTTTGATTGTTTTTCAGAGAACTGACTGGTGGTGGGGGGGGTAACTATCATAAACAAATGAATAGGCCTGAACTTCAACCAAAAAATAGCATAATCTATTTAAAAATAATTTAAATCTATTTAAAAATAGATTATGCTATTTTTTGGTTGAAGTTTTAAAAATTTTAAACTCACAAGCAACAGCTGGGCAATCCACTACCTCGTACATAATCACTGCAGTATATGATGCCATTTTCTAAGACAGCTGCAGCAACAACTTGGATTCATACCTGCTGGTTTGACTTAGTTTACTAGGGTTTTTTGTGGTCAGTTAACAAACACTGAGAAAAATTCAAAGCTGTAATTAGAATGCAAATGTAATGTAAAAGGCCCAGTCAGGTGAAAAATAAGATTGTTTTTACATTCTGCAATGGGACACACTGTCAAGAGATTAACCACGTATCTACAAATTTGCTAGGCAAAAAATGGGCTAGTTTAAAAATGCCTCTTAGCAGAGGTTGCAGTGAGCCAAGATCGTGCCACTGCACTCCCCTGAGCAACAGAGCTAGACTTAACGCAAAAAAAAAAGAGTAAATAAAAATAAATAAATAAAAATGCCTCTTAGGTTTGAGCTGCTTAATGAACTACAATTAAGAAGTTAAAAACTTTTTTGAAACCATTAACTTCATAATTAGGCCTCATTTTTAAAGTGATCTCAAATACCTTCTTTTAATTAAACCAGTTTAATTCCCCGGTAGAAACTCCTCAGTTGCCTTTAAAATTTGTGGAATACTTGCTACAACATGGCAATTAGATGTGAATTTGAATCACGTGCTATTTGAATCAGCTCATAAACTTTAATTAAAAATAAGCACTTTGGCTATAACAGTCCGAAGTAAAGTGCTTATAGCTAAAGACAAAGGTCTTAACAAAATTAACCTTACCTCAACCAGCACCTTGAACACATTAGTATGCCGGACTGCCCGCCACCCACATGTCTCAAGGACCGTCTCCAAAAAATCAGCTGTGAATTCATTTACCTCAGAGGCCTTGCAGTCAGCTACAAAGAAATTAAACACAGGAAGAAATGAGAATGCATAAAACAGAGGGAAGTTAATAAATCCACTTAAATCCACTTTCTCAGAAACAACGGGCAATCTGAGGGACTGAAACAGACGATCTACTTGTAAACTAAAAAAATAAAAGATACAAAAAACCTACTCACCTAAAATGTAATCTTGATAGGCTCTGAATGGCTCATAGAACAAAAGTTGATTTGTTTGGAAAATTTCTGGGAAAAGGGTTTTTCCTTCTGGCATAAAAGTTTGTAAACTAGAACCTGGTTTATCATGGTAGCTACAATCACTGCATGAATCTTCATCTTGGAACAAACCTTAAAAAAAAAAGCAAGTTCCAGTGCCTTATTGAATGCTTCTATTTTCACACCCTTGCATAGAAATCCCACACAAAATACAAACAAGAATTGGAATACGAATGTTCTACTTACCTCTACCGTTATCAGAAGAAACTAGTTTTCCAAACTTAAAAATATTTCAAAATCCAGATTCTACCTCAAAACAGTAAGCGTTTGAGATCTTTAACAGCTAGATTTTTGTTGTTGTTCTACGATGTTTTGGGGGCCAGCATTAAGCTGTTTGTTTTTGTTTTAGAAACAGTCTCACTCTGCACCTAGGCTGGAGTGCAGTGGTGCGATCATAGCTCACCCCAACCTCAAACTCATGGGCTCAAGCAACCCTCCTGCCTCAGCCTCCTGAGTAGCTAGGACTACAGACATGTACCACCACATCCAGCTGGAAGACAGCTGATTTTTAATTCAGTGGAAATCACTCAAGTTCTCCTTCAAAGCATACAGCCTGTGATTTATACTACAGTTAGTAAGTTACAATGATCAAGTATCTTATTTATTTTTCAAAACAATTCCTTTAAGAAAGGGAGCTGACTTCCCCTCTGATGGGTTAAACGCTCCCTTGATTTCCTATAATATCATTCTGTCAATGGCCCTTCAATAAACAGGGATGAACGAGTCTTAATAATCCATAACATTTACTTCAGTAAGGATATTAGGCTCCTCAGTAATTTCAATGACTGTGTCTAAGGAAAAGATTGGAAAATGCAAATCACATTAGGTTTGGGCTACACATAATGTTACAGAAGTTATGATTCAGCCAGTGGCATATCTAATTCTGTGTAATAGATGTTTTTAAAATTAAAAATTAAAAAAATGTTTTTAATAGATGAAACATCTACCAAATAAGCAACACTAAGAAGGGTAGCTTTTAGAATGTAGAGTAGTTTCAAGAGGTGGTTTCAGGGAAGGAATCTGATATGTTAGCAGAAGCCTTTTTTCCTTCTCCCCCTGGATTTGCTCCTTCCTCTTCCTCCTTCATTTATTTGTCCCTGTTCACGCCACCAGAAGTACTTCATCTACAGATGACCAAAGTATACTCAAGGGTCTACTGCTCACAAACACTGATGCACATGAGCCTTAGAAGGCATCAGTACCTTACAGGCTGTGTGACACTCACTCTGTGCCTCAGCTTCCTCTCCTATAAAGGGAAGATAAAATAGTACATCTACTTCAATTAAGAAGATTAAATTTTTTGTTAATAATTTACAACAGTGCCTATTACATAATGTATATGTTAAGTAAAGAAATAGTTGTACTTCAGCACCATTTTTTTTTCAGCGCCATTCTTTATAGCTACTTTGTTTCTGTTTTTCCAGATTTTTGGAGGTATAATTAACAAATAGAAGTTATATACATTTAAAGTTTTTAACATGATGGCCAGGCATGGTGGCTCACATCTGTAATCTCAGCACTTTGGGAGGCCAAGGATGGTGGATCACCTGAGGTCAGGAGCTCAAGACCAGCATGGCCAACATGGTGAAAACCCATCTCTACTAAAAATACAAAAATTAGCCAGGTGGTGGGCACAGACACCTGTAATCCTAGGTACTTGGGAGGCTGAGGCAGGAGAATCACTTGAACCCAGGAGGCAGAGGTTGCAGTGAGCTGAGATCGTGTCACTGCACTCTAGCCTGGGCAAGAGTGAGACTCTGTCTCAAAAATAATAAAATAAAATAAAAAATAAAGTGTATTACATGATGTTTTGATATACCTGTACATTATGAAATGATTACAGCAGTAAAGTGAATTAATATTCCATCACCTCGTATACTCACCTTTTGTGTGTATGTGAACACTAATGATCTACACTATTAGCAAATTTCAAGTACAAAATTTGCATTATCACATCATTGCCTATTAATACTGTAATAATAATAATACAGTATTATTAACTATAGTCACCATGCTGTATGTATATCAGATCCCCAGAACTATTCACCCTGCATAACTGAAACTTCGGACCCTTTGACCAACATCTCCCCACTCTCCCCATGGCAACTACCACTCTACTCTCTAACTTCCTCTTTTTTAGATTTCCCCATATAAGCGATGCCAGGCAGTATTTCTCTATGTTTGCAGCCACCTTAAAAACATTATTTCACTTCATCTTCACAACAAGTACAACCATTGGCGTCGTCTTGCAGATGGGAAAACTGAAGCCAAGCAACTTTTGCCAGCTGGAAAGGTGGGTTAGTAGTGGAATTGTCACACTTACGTTTTCTCACTTCTCTGGGATTCTCTGCTACACAATACAACCGAAAGTGTTAACGTAAAAACGTGAACCAGCTTAAATGTCAGAAAAAAAAAAAACAAAAAAACAGTAACGGAACTCTATGAGGAGGAAGAAAGGGTGCAGAACTAGGAAACGCCGGTTCTATTTCTGGACTCTGGCCCAAGTTGGGGCTTCTCACTTTGGACACGTCATCACCCTCTGTGCACAGGACAGCCATCTAGGCAAAGGGTTCAAGCTTTCCTCTTCTTCGGGAAAGGGAAGTGTAGTTCGCGATCTCCTTTGAGATGCAGATGAAAAAGATGACCCCTTGCGCAACAGTAAATGCACAGCTCCCGCAAAGCGCATCCGGATTGAGAATTCCTGGCCCAACTCAATCCCCTCCAATCTCGGGGAAGCTGAGGCCAGAGAGTGGGGGGAGAGGGGGAAATGGGGAGAGGGAAGAGAAGGCTAACCCCAGGTACAGCCTGATTTTGACGTCCCGGTCACAGGGTCCCAGCAGCTCACCGCGGTCCCCTCCACCTTGGACAGCCGGGTCCGGAAGGCCTGCGACCCAGGCGCCCACCGAGAGTTCCGAGGCCCCGGGCCTCCACTGAGAGGCGGTTCCTCGGGCCCAGCATGGTGGAGCTCACCTTTCTCCAGAGACGCCGGCTCCTGCTCGACCGCCCAGCCCGCGCGCTCGGGAGCCTTGGCCGCCGCCTCCAGACGCCGCGCGTCAGCGACCGTCAGTCATGGATGACGCAGACGCTGTTGATTGGATAGTCGGGCCGAGTCCGTTGACCAATTAGAGGTCTGGCCCCGCTTCAGCCCCCACCAACCCGGTCGCCGCGCTCCGGGAGCAGAGCTGTTCTTGTTCAAGTGCCCGGCCTTCGCTTTTCCCGGATGAACTGGAAGAAAATCAAATTAGGCCGGGCGCGGTGGCTCACGCCTGTAATCCCAGCACTTTGGGAGGCTGAGGCGGGTGGATCACGAGGTCAAGAGATCGAGACCATCCTGGTCAACAAGGTGAAACCCCCGTCTCTACTAAAAATACAAAAATTAGCAGGGTATGGTGGTGCGTGCCTGTAGCCCCACCTACTTGGGAGGCTGAGGCGGGAGAATTGCTTGAACCCAGAAGGCAGAGGTTGCGGTGAGCCGAGATCGCGCCATTGCACTCTAGTCTGGGTAACGACAGCGAAACTCCATCTCAAAAAAGAAAGAAAGAAAGAAAGAAAGTCAAATTAGGATATAATTTGGAATGATTTTCGAAACAAACGAACAACGTCTAGAAATGAGATATAGTGGAAAAGTAACTGTGTTGAGAGTCAAAAAACATAGTATTTAAACTTATCTGGGCCATTCCTAGAGGTATTGCCTTTGGACAAGTCATTTCACGTCCCACAAACACAACTTCAGCTGGAAAGGATGCTGGACTTGGTGGGCCCGAGACTTTCACCACCAAAAACCTGTCTCTCTCTGCCTTTCAATATGCACACATGCAGCATATTTTCAAAGAATGTCAAATTAAATTTAGTAAGTAAATTTGTTAATTTGGATTAATCAAAGGCAACTATAATTTTCAATATAATGGCTAACATTTATGTGTATTGTGTGCAAGACGCCTTCCTGCATGCATTACCTGCATTGTCCTGTTTAATCTTCACAGCTATCCTATAAGACAGGAGCTATTACTCTACCCATTTTACAAATGAGCAAATGGAGCCACTAAGAAGTTAACTCATTTCTCCAATCTAACCCTGCAAAGCCAGGATGTGAAAGGAGCCACACTCCATGAAGAAGCCTTTTAATGTCTCTGCCAGGCCATCACTGCTAGAATGATGAGATCAGCCTGAGATAGCCCAGGTTAGCAGGACACCAGGTGGGATGAGTCCACAGGAGGCCAAGAGCCTGGTCATGACAGTTCTTTTGTGCAGTCTTAACACAGGGAAACATTTCCACTTATTGCTTTGAAGAAATACCTTGGGCTAAAGTCTCTCTGATCAGTTACAGCTGGAATAAAATGGAGCCAGGAGACCTGACTGTGGAAACCTACACTTAATTGGGCTAGCTTTTCCAGGAAACGAGATTTCTTTGACCGTTGTGGGCGGAATCTGACCTTAACATTTATTTGCTCACTGAACAAATACTTATTGAGCACCACGAGGTCAAACACAGAAAACAATAATCAAGACTAAGGACTGACCTTGAGGACTAAGCTAGCTTTCTCATTATCCTCCCTTCAACCTTCCTACCCACAAACCTTGTAAGTGGTAGCATTTCTCCTCACCCATTTGCATCATCCCTGGATGCAACACAGTTCTCATCCAATTCCCAAATATTTCATCAATCATCACGATATTGCTAAAACCAGGCCGGGCATAGCAGCTCATGCCTGTAATCCTACCACCTTAGGAGATGGAGACAGGCAGATCACTTGACTTCAGGAGTTTGAGACCAGCCTGGGCAACGTGGTGAAACCCCACCTCTACAAAAAAATACCAAAAAAATTTATCTGGGTGTGGTGACATGCAGCTGTGGGCCTAGGTGCTCAGGAGACTGAGATGGGAGGATCTCTTGAGCCCAGGAGGATCTCTTGAGCCCAGGTTGCAGTGAGCCAAAATCACACCACTGCACTGCAGCCTGGGAAACAGAGTTAAACCCTGTCTCAAAAAAAAAAAAAAGATATTACCAAAACCAGTGCTTCTGGAAAATCTTGGAAAGGAACTGAAGACAACAGGGTCAAAGACAAAATACCTATGCTTTTGCAAACTCCACTAAGAATAAACTATTTATTAAACTAGATACGTTTCCCAGTGCAGTGGCTCATACTTGTAATCCCAGCACTATGGGAGGCTGTGGTGGGTGGATCACTTTAGATCAGGAGTTCAAGACCAGCCTGACTAATAAGATGAAACCCATCTCTACTAAAAACACAAAAATTGGCCAGGCATGATGGCGCACACCTGTAATTCCAGCTACTCAGGAGATTAAGGCAAGAGAATCGCTTGAACCCAGGAGGCAGTGGTTCCAGCAAGCCAAGATCATGCCACTGCACTCCAGCCTATGTGACAGAACAAAACTCTGTTTCAAAAAAATAAAAATAAAAAAATTAGGTACATTTGCTATACACTAGCCCTTCTCATTTCCAAACCTACATTGACGTGTATTCACTACTTGCTCAGATTATAGCAAAGATTTTTAGTTTTCCCCTAAGTGAAGACCTTATAGGAGAACACGTTTCTTGAGAGTTTGCTTTCCCTGCTCCCCTTCATCCTACAGGAAAGGGTTTTCTCCCTCCTCCATTTCAATCCCTCTACCTGTGGCCCATCACAACTTTCTCCCTGCTCTAAGGTGACTGTCACCTGCTCTTCCTGCCTTGTTTATATCTTTGCTTTCTTTCTCATCACTGGGTCCACATGTCTACACATGTACTCCAAAATATCTGTTCTCCCAAAAACACTTTAAACTCATCTGCAACGCTGAGATTCTACCCTCACAGTCTCTTTCTCTGTAGCCCCAAACTGTTCAGCATAATGCCTTTCCGCTCCTGCCTTCTTTGAGGCCGGTAGCCCCTCTGGAGGCCCCTCCCCACACCCCACAGAGGCACTGACTCTGCTGACCTCCCACTTTATAGTCTTCCCTCCCTTGGCGTCTGGGTCCTCACTTTCCTGGTCCTCCTTCTAGTTCACTAACTATAATACCTCCATCAACTGCAATAAGAAAGTAAGTGGAAAAGTCCAGAAATAAATAATTCATCAATTTCAAGTTTTGTGCCCTTCTGAGTAGGACGAATCATTCCTTTTCCAACATATCATGCTGGCACCATCAGGGCCAAGGGAAACGACCCCCACCCCCGGCCTTTGCCCTCTGAAGGTTCACTGGAAGTCAACTGTCAAAGGGCAGATTAATAGAAGAGAAGACCTAAAAAATTATTGACATGCACATAAATCACAGTGATTACCCCACCATGCAGTGAGGTACAGATGATTCTGTACCCTTCTTCTTATGGGAAAAGGAGGTGAGGAAGCATGGATGATTTTAGGGGGTTAGTAAATGATTTTTAGGGAATTCAGTGGGCTTAAAAACATGCAGTGAGGCCGGGCATGAAGGCTCACGCATGTAATCCCAACACTTTGGGAGGCCAATGTGGGCAGATCATCTGAGATCAGGAGTTTGAGACCAGCCTGGTCAACATGCTTAAATCTCATCTCTATTAAAATGTATATATATTAGCCAGGCATGGTGACACATGCCTGTAATCACAACTGCCCAGGAGGCTGAGGCAGGAGAATCACTTGAACTCAGGAGGCAGAGGTTGCAGTGAGCCAAAATTACGCAACTGCACTCCAGCCTGGGCAACAAAAATGAACCTCCATCAAAAAAAAAGAACATACAGTGGCCTGGGACAAAGCCTATTGGGCCCGAAGAGCAGACAGTGGTTTGTGACAAGTCTGTCCAGGTGCCTTGGCAGACTTCAGTCTTTCTTCCTGCAATATGGAATTCAGTTAAATGAAAACTCAGGGAGGGGACCAGAGGTGATTGTTTTCTTCTTTAGTAGCTTCAGACTTTAGGCGGAATAAAAGAATCTCAGAGAACTTTGTTCTGTGCTTTGGGAGAGATAGAGGATTAAGAGATAGGGGTGGGGGGCAGGTCGGAGAGGTCTTGAAGCTTCTTCCTCAGTTCAGCCTGACAAAGCATCATATATCAGGTTAGCAGTTTATGGTCCCCCATATCACTTAGTAGCCATCTCAATTGTCAGATAAAAACATAGAGTAATCTATATAGGGTTCAGTACTATCCATGATTTCAAGCAGTCACAGGGGGATCTTGAAACATATCCCCCGAGAATGAGGGGCACTACTCTACTCCTTCCTGCTCTCATTTCTCTTCCCACCTTTCAGACTCCATGAACCAAGGTGATTCCCAGGGGCATATACTAGCAAGGGCCCAGGGCAGGCTGTGGCAACCACTGTGGTTATGCAGGTAAAGAGATTTGATCATTCGTTCCACAAATAGTAAATATTTACAGTCTAGACTATGCACCAAACTTTGTTCTAGGTTCAAGGGAAACAGGACAAATGAGACAGACAAGGTCCCTGCCTGCACAGAGTTCACAGCCTAGCAAGAACACATAATAAGCAAGTAAAAAATTAACAAGCAAATTTCAAGTATTAAAAAAATACTAAAAATAAAACAAAATGCAGGCTTGATGCCATGGCTCACATCTGTAATCCCAACACTTTGGGAGGCTGAGGCAGGTGGATCACTTGAGGTCAGGAGTTCGAGACTAGCCTAGTCAACATGGTGAAACCTCATCTCCGTTAAAAATACAAAAATTATCCAGGCCTGGTAGCATGTACCTGTGGTCCCAGTTACTCAAGAGGCTGAGGCAGGAGAATCACTTGAACCTGAGGGGTAAAAGTTGCAGTGAGCCGAGATCGCGCCACTGCACTACAGCCTGGACCACAGAGTGGGACCCCACCTCAAAAAAAAAAAAAAAGTGCAGCAGTGTGACTGAAAATGGTGGGGGGAGACAAATTCAGATCTTTATGCGAAACATCTGATTTTAAACTTAGCAACTAATTTTTAAATTTTAAACACTATACAAGCCAGAAAAACTTTATTCCCCAGGCCAAATTGGCCCACAGCTTACCAGATTGCAACCTCTGTTCTAAGCCCCAACTACTCAGGGCACAGTGCAGGAACCAGGAGGAGCTTGTTGGAAATGCAGTCTCTCCCACCCCAATCCCAGACCTGCTGGATTTTTTTTTTTTTTTTTTTTTTTTGAGACGGAGTTTCGCTCTT